GAATCCCCACATACCGGCTCCAGCGCGGCTCCTATGAGATTCCAGCTTTTGCTCCACCCACGGTGGCCTTCTCAAGAACTCAAAACCCCACCCTACTCTCATGTCCCAGCCCCCTGACCCTAGCTCTGGCCCTGGCCCTGACGGAAGTAGGCAGAGGATGCCACGTGACCTTGCCTCCTGTGACAGTCCTCAGGCAGCCGTCCACCCAGACAGTCAGCCTGGGAACTGGCTCCGGCCTCGGCCACTGCTCTCATTTCCTCTGCCGGCTTCCTGAGCCGGGGGTGGGGAAGGCCACGGCCGCTGGTCCCACTGCCACTAGTCCTCTGTGACAGGCAGGCAGGGCCCAGACTCCAGGGACCCGGAAGCAGGGCCCCAACAGGCACTATGACCCAGATTATCGTGAGACAAGAGTAAGGGGTGACACAGGCGTCCCTCCACCATAGACATGGCATTCAGCCTACCTGGGAACGAGACAGCAGAGAGGGTCCCCTGATGATGGTCTGCAGTTGACCCTAATCCCTGTCCCAAGAGCCATGAGAACAAGGCAGGTGGTCACAGTCCCAGGAGGAGGGCCTGGCAGAGGACTGGGCACAGTCCACCCTCAGGAAGTACTCCGTGAGTGCAGGATGGGTGCCAGAGACAGCAAGGACATTACTCATCAGGACTGGCCATGTATATGCCGACACATGGCCAGCTGCAGATCTGCCAGCTCCTGCCTCGACCCCTAGGCCTGAGGGGGTTCTACGCCTAAATCCTTTGGCTGCCTGGGCGAAGCTCCCCTGACTAGCGAGAACGGCTCTTTCTTGGCCAGTTTGGCAGTGGTGGGTGGTTCAGGCCTTGCTGGCTCTCCCAGCTTCGGGTCTAGGCAGTCCTCTGCTTGAACTCCTTCGCTCATCTCTAGTTCCTCTCCCCCGCACCCTACCCTGTCTCCTGCCATTTCTGTGTCCTCTTAGCAGGACATCTGCCACCGGATTTAGGGTTCACCCCACCCTGAGGTCCTGGGGGGACAGAGACCTGGTGACACCTCTCAAGTGAGCACACAGAACCCTCGAAATGGAAAAGTGGTGCTCAGGCAAAGAATTCTGTGGCCTGGAGAGCAGGTGCTCACACCCACAAGAATCCCCACAGAGGTGTGCACACAGGTACATGTGTGCAGGTACACACTTGGACATGCCTGTGCCCTGCCAGCCTGAACATACCTGCCTCATTCGCCACGTGGGAGGTGTATGTTGCAGGTATTTTTACCTCTGTGTCTGTGTGTGCCACACATGTACAGGAGCCTGCATACCTGAGGGTGTTGGGGAGAACGGAAGAAGCTCCACATGTCCCCTGCCCCTGCCCCGGGTTTCTGTGACCACTCTCTGGTGGTTTCACCGGGTTGCTCCAAGAGAAGCGGCCTGTATGTAGCTACTGCCAGCCAGGCCACATGGGGCCCTGCTGAGGCACCTCTCAGCCTGGTCACCCATAACCTACAGGCTTTAATGATTCATCAAAATGAGGTCATACTGAGGTAGGGTTTGCCTTAAATCCAGGCCCTAAGCTCCCTGTCACTGGGCCCAGAGACAGGGTGACAAGCCAGAGACAGCAGGCTATGTCGCTCTACCCTGGTTCCGCTGCGTGAAGGACTGGGCAGCTGGTGCCTTCAACCAGGTCCAGTGATGATCAGGTTTGTCATTCAGTGAGTCACAGCTTTCCATATTCCAAGTACATCTGTGAGCCAGCGACTAGTACTCCTGGGGACTCCCTGGCTCATTTCCAGGGCCGCCTTTGGCCCAAGCCCCAAGTACACCCATCCATGTGCCACTCAGACCAAGCTCTTCTTCACACTCACCATAATTCCAGCAATGCCAGCCCTGTACCCTGCCACATGTGGACACCAAGGGAGCAACACCCCAGAAAGGCACAGCCAGGCTCTTCCTTAGGAACCCAACATGGGTGAGGACTTGAGCAGGGACCAGAACTGAGGGGCTGGAGATAGTGAGCAGTGGGGCGCAGCGCAGGGTGAGTGGGCAATAGCAGACGGTGGACAGCCATGCCTCCTCTGAGCTTCTGTGAGCTGCCGGGATGGCTGCCGGCTCCATACCCTACCTGCCTCAGGCAGGACCCTGGCGAGGCCACCTTGACCAGCCTTGCCTGGTGTTCATCCTTGCTCAGTGTTTCATGCTGCACGGCCACACGACCACCTCACAGATAAGCAAACTAAGGACCAGAGAGGGCAGACATCAGGCAGTGAGCAAATAGTAGAGGGGGCCTAGGGCTCCCCCAGCCCCAGCATGCGAGGCAGCCCCAAGGTATCCTGGGAGTGCAGATTCCTCCACGGGAAGCCCTAGTGAAGACCTCTTTGGGTCCCAGACACCACTGCTGGTGGCACCAGGGACAGTACCAGGCCCAGCAACCATAATGCCCTGACGGAGGCCTGGCCAATTTAACTCCCTTAGCTGCACCTGGCACACTGAAGAGGAGAGTGAGAAATAAGGTCAATCCCCTGCCTCAATACGAGATAACTACCATTCACTCAAGGTCATCAGCTCCTGCTCCTTCTAGCTGTTCTTGTCCTCCGTGGAAACCTGTCACTCTTATTTCTTGACTTTCATGCTCTGCCTACCTGCAGAGGGATCTCAGAGAGGTTGAAAAAAATGGCCCAAGACCACACAGCAAAGAGGCCACTGGGCCAAGTCTGCCAAGAAATCCTTCATGATCTCCTACGTCCTGGATGCCAGAGAACAGGGCACAGAGTCAGACTTCACAGCAGGCCCTTCTGAGTGCTTGTCTGGTCATGACACCCCACAATTATGTTCACCCAGCACCCTGTCCTGTCCAGTGTGGCTGTGGTGGCCAGGGGCCCAGCATGCTAACAGCCTCCACCTCAAACTCATCTGCCAGTCCTATAATGCTCGAAGACCTGGCCATCGGTGCAAGGGCTTGTCCTGAGGACTGTCAGGGGGCCCTGGGCAACCCATAAACACACTCTTCAGCCACTGCAAATATGAACCTCTCTCTGAGTTTTGGTGGCTCTAACATGGACAACCTGAGAGAGACCTTCTCTCCCTATTGCGAAGATAGAGAAAAGCCATTTAGCCTCCACAGGTGCAGGGGCCTTCAGGCACCAGTTTGCCCATACCTCCTCACCCCCCACAAATGGCTCACCAGGTACCTCCACCAAACCAGACCTGGACATAGGCATCACCATTCCATTTCACAGATGGGGAAACAGAAGCCCAGAGAAGCAAAGACAGACACAGGGACCCTGATGGGAGAGAGTGGGCCTTGAGCATAGATTTAGTGGGAGGGCAGTGGATCCCATCTTTCCTCTCCAGCACACACAGGGCCAGGGCTTGTTACCCCAGTAAGGTCCCCCCCCCCATCACCACCATCCAAACTCTCGGGGTAGTAAGGGTGCAATGTCCACAGGCATACAGCTCTCAGGAGACCTCCCCTGCCAACACTTCCCCTAGATCATTACACCAACACACTGTAATTATACTGATCCACTGCACCAGAGCTCAAGAGCTGCAGAGTCCTGCCATTTCTCCAAGGTGGGGGAAGGGTGCTCCTGTCCTGGATATCCTGGAGGAAAAAGGGGCGATAAACTACCAGGGCAGGTCTGAGCCCAGGAGACAACATGACTACAGGAGAGGTAGGGTGGGGGGGGGGGGAATGCAGGGATTCCTCCCTACTGTGAGCAGTCTAGGCCCCACCCCTACCCCAACAGCTCCAAGGCCACCTATCTGTAGTCTGGAGTAGCCTTCTACAGGAAGGACCAAGTGCTGGGTAAGGTTTGCCATGGGGGGACATTCTGGAGCCCTAATGCTGGCCCCTGGACATCCATCTGTCCCTAAAGGTGGTCTGGGCCTGAGGCTGCTTCACAAGGCCACCTCCACTCCTGCCCTGGGTTTTGTGAGTCACTGACATTGCTGCTAGGTTCTGCGCCTTTGGTTGGATGAAATGGTGACCTCCAAGCCCCTTGGGTCACCCAGGAGTCATTTCTGAGCAAGGGACACTTACAGCCCTAAGCCCAGAAGACAGCTCCCATCAGCTCCCCTCCCTAGGAGCAAATGCCTTCAGATCCAGCCCTGCCCAGGGGACTCAGTGCATCACCGCACACACTGGCCCCACTCCAGGAGGGAGACCCAGGAGAGCCATCACGTGTGAGCCAGGCTTTGTTTGGGCTGTGCAGCCCAAGCCAAAGCCCCAGGGACATGTGGGTGGGATTCTAGGCTCCTGGACAGAGGTTCATTTCCCTCCCACTCAGGACAATCAAACAGAATCAGGGTTAGAAACAGCTGCCCTAGCTCCCTCTACCCACACGGCTGTCCACCCTGGTCAGGAAGCCGTGGCGGTAAACACATTACCCCTGTGTCCACTCGCCAGGTGGAGCAAGAGGTCCACCCCCAGGTCCTGTGCTGACAGCTTGTCAGCACCACCTCTCTAGAGGGGGATCTCAGGTGGGCTCATGTTAGCGGTCTTCATCGGCCCCCACACCCACCACAAGCTGCCGGGGTGGGGGTGGGGGACTGGCTGGACAAGGATTTGTAGAAAACAGCGCCAGGTTTGGGAAGGGGCCTTCCACACCAAAACATGGATCAGCAAGCTCCCACAGCGGCCCTGGGCTCCTGCCCTGCCTTGCAGATCACCCCTCACCTCCCCAGGGCCCTGAGTCCTGGCAACCTCTCTCCGGGACACCTGGGGCCAACACAGGCCCTCCTGTCCCAGTTACCTGTGCCAGGGAGGCATCCAAAGAGACAGGGGCTGATGCTGCCAGCCAGAGCTGAAGGGGCCGGCTGTGCAGGGTCTGGCCCCACGGCCTGCCCACCTCCGGAGACCTGTAGTGGGTCCTCGCCGGTCCCTGTTCTTCTGCGGGGACTCAGGGCAGAGAAAGGGTTAATTTCCAGGCAAAATGGGAAACCGCGGCTCCAGCAGCATCATGTCGGCAGTGAGAAGACAGGTGGGGGGGCAGCCGCAGCCGCAAGGCCGCCTCCGAGGGCGCCGCGCGGACTCACCCGGGTCGAAGTGGGAGCTGAAGGCGAAGCTGGGGTTGAAGAAGGACGACGACATGGCCAGGGCCAGCAGCGCGATGGGCATCCCCGGGGCCGGCGTGGCGCTCAGGCTCAGAATGCTCGCGGCCTGGGCCGGCGTCCCGGCATCATCGTCCAGCGGCCTCCGCAGGTGCGGAGCGCACGGCCCCCCGCTCCTAGCGCCCCCAGCCACCGCCGCAGCGCGGGCACCGGTGGGGGCGGCGACAGACGAGGCGCCTCCGCCCGCCGCCGCGGCGCCGCGGGGCTCCGGCTGGTGCAGTCCGAAAACACGCGGGAGCGCGCGCGAGATGGGGGGGACGGAGTGGGAGGGGGGGTGGAGGAGGGGGCACGGCGGGTGGGGGGTGCGGAGCCGGGACAAAGCAGGGAAGGGGCAGGCAGGTCGTGGACAATGAGGGAAGGGAAGGGGGCACAGAAGCAGGGGGCTATGGGGTGAGGAGATGAGGACTGAGGGCAGAGAGGCTGGGGCGCGGAGGCTGGGGACATGGAGTGGGGAACAGAGGCAGAGGAGGAGCGCGTAGGTCGTGGGACTCTAAGTGATGGGGAGGGGGCACGGAAGCCGGGACTACGGGTGTAGGCAAGATGAAGACTGAGGAGCACCGCGGCAGGGGCTAGGAGTGCGCAGATGATGGGGCTACAGAGAGGGATGAAGGCTGGGAGGCACAGCGACTTGGGAAAGGACAGGGAACAGAGGCAGACGGAGGGGCATACAGGTTACGGGACACTAAAGGATGTAGGATGAGGAGAGGGTACAGAGGCTGGTGCTTCGGGAGCTGTGGAACACAGTGTGGAGACACAAGCATAGGAGGACACGCAGGTCCCAGCAGACTAAGGGTGTGGGCGGAGGGAAAGGGTATGAAGGCCTCGGCTACCGGGATGGAGACTGGAGGGCTCAGAGAGGGGAGGGATACTGAGGCTGGGAGACATGGCGTGTTGAGATGGAGACAGTGGGGGGCACCGAGGCTGTGGGGATCCGAAGGGGTCGGCACGGAAGTGGGGGGAGGGTTGAAGGAGGGAGTCAGATGGATGAGGGTGATGAAGGCCAGGGGGCACCCAGGAAGGGAGCTGTGATAGAGGCGGGAGGCGTGAAGGTCGGAGGTCGGAGGTCTCGGGGGCCTGAGATGGAGATCGAGCCCTGGATGAGGGAGCGACAGACTGGAAGCCTGCCAGGCATAGTCGCTGTGGGCGTCTCGAGGTCACTGAGGTCGTGGGGATTGTCACAGAGGCCAAGAATCATGGAGGAGGTTACGGACAGGAGTGGACGTGGAGGTGCGGAGCTGGGGTCCTGCTGAGTATCGGAGGGTGCACGGAGATAGATGGGGGACCCTGGAGCTTGGAGACACGGGGTCACTCTCAGGTTTCGGGGGTAGCTTGTCGGGAGGTGCTTGCACTGGTGGAGGCGGAGGGGGAGCTGTTTTTGTATTAACCGCCTGCGGCTGTGCCACGCTGCGACGGACAGCCGCCCCCACCGGCACAGAACAGCCAGGGCGCTTGGAGCGGGCGGCGGCGCCGGGCACGGACGCTGCTGTGCCCTGCGCCCCTCCTCCTCCCGCCGCAGCGCCATCTTGCAGCGTTGCGACGCAGCTGCGGGCCTGGCGGCGGGTAGGCGGAGGCAGGAAGAGGGGCTGTCACCTGCAGCTCTGGGGTCCTAGACAGCCATACCGCTGTCATTCATTCATTCTTGGGCTAGTTACAGAGCCCCTTGGGGTCCGCAGTTGGAAAGCAAGGGGACTGTGCTAGCTAGAGGGGCCCTGTGGGAAGGAGGTGTTTGAGCAGAGGGTCAGCAGAGTCGGAGGTCTCAGGGCCTGCCCTGGTTTTTCTAACGTGGCCCTTGTGAAATTTGGGGTGGTCATCTCTGCCCATGTTGTCAGCAGCAGTGACCCAACACAGCTCAGCTGGAGGGCCAGTGGGCTTTGGGGTTGGCCTTGAGTTCATGGCTGGCCAGGTATTAGAGAACCATTAGTTTCCAATCCTCTGGGAACCCCATGCATGGAAAGGGTGGTCAGGCACTCCTGAGGATCCAGTGACCACTAGTCCATGAACTAGCTTCTTCCCATCCTGGGGTGCAGGGGAGTGGGTGCCGGAAGGAACAAAAAGCACCTGTAGGTAAGAGGACCCTTCGCGTGTGGCTTTTTCCTGTTCTTTGACCAGGGCTGAGGTGAGGTTCCCCACACCCTTCAGTGTATAGACACTGATGTTGGAGAACATTCTGTAATTCTGCCCCACGCTAAGGGTGATGGGATACCGTAGGGGCCTTGCCTGGAAGCACCAGCTGACTTCAAGGGCGTGGCCTGGCAGGGGGCATGTTTGTTTATGGAGGAGGTGGTACATCTAGGAACTGAGGCAGAGTGGAGGCCCTGGAGAGGAAGGCTGGACTGTGATGAGACAGAGGAGGAAGAGCAGACTAAGAGCCCTCAGGAAGTTGGAGGGTGAGAGGCTAGACCTAGAAAAGAGTGAGGTAATGAGGCACCCACCTCAGAGAACAATTGGGGTGGGGGCCCCAACATCTGGCCGTTATGTCCACGTGTAGAGGACTAGATAAGGGTTACGTCACACAGCGCAGTCAGACTTGAAACACTGACGCGTGCTACATGGATGGGCTGAACCACAAACACAGGCTGCTCACTGAGGAGGCCAGTCAGCAGGCTGCAGAGGCAGCGATTCTGTTTACAAGAACGGATGTCCAGAGCAGCACGGTCTGCAGAGACCAGCCGCAGATGGGGATTGCCGGAATCCCTGGGGAGGGGAAGTGTGGGGTGACCACAAGGTCCTTGTGGGGGTGATAAAAGATGTTCTGGAATTGGGTAAAAGTGACATTATGAGTCCAGTGACTGTACAGAACAGCAGGAGCCGACGAAAGGCAGCGGCAGCAGCAAAGCCTTACTGAATCTTTAAGAAAGATACTACCTTTATTTACTGTGTGTATACCACATGGGTATGCGTGTTATGGCACATGCGTACAGGTCAGAGAACAGCTTTTGGATGGTTTCTGGGATCAAGCTTGGGTCAACAGGACCGGGGTCAAGTGCCTTTACCCACTGAGTCATCTGGCCATCCCTGAATTAGACTTTAAAATGTAAGTGTTCGCCGGGCGGTGGTGGCGCATGCCTTTAATCCCAGCACTCGGGAGGCAGAGCCAGGCAGATCTCTGTGAGTTCGAGGCCAGCCTGGACTACCAAGTGAGTTCCAGGAGAGGCACAAAGCTACACAGAGAAACCCTGTCTCGAAAAAACAAAAAAAAAAAAAAAAAAATGTAAGTGTTCAAGCTGAGCAGTGGGGACACACACTTTTAATCGCAGAATTCAGGAAGTAGATCCCTGAGTTTGAGGCCAGCCTGGTCTAGAGAGTGAGATCCAGCATTGCCAGGGCTTCACAGAGAAACCCTGTCTGGAAAAACAAAACAATAAAGTGCTCTTTGTCTATTCTTAAAACAGGGCTTCAGGTAGCCTGGGCTAGAGCTGATGTTAACCTTCTTTTCATCTTATTTATTTATTCATTTATTCATTCATTGGTTTTTCAAGACAGGGTTTCTCTGTATAACTTTGGTGCCTGTCCTAGAACTCGCTCTGTAGACCAGGCTGGCCTCGAACTCGGAGATCTACTTGCCTCTGCCTCCCAAGTGCTGGGATTAAAGGTGTGCACCACCACCACTGCCTCCACCACCGCCTGGCTTGACCTTGAACTTTTGATCCTTGTGCTTTTACTTCTAGAAATGCTGGGATTACAGCCAATCACAGCACCTCACCCAGAACAATGGGGGTGAGTCTGACAGTTTTTGACATCTCAATAAAGCTGTAGGAACCTAGTAATTGAGTAATTATGTCTCAATGCAGCATTCTCTCTCTCTCTCTCTCTCTCTCTCTCTCTCTCTCTCTCTCTCTCTCTTTCTCTCTCTCTCTCTTTTTCCGAGACAGGATTTCTCTGTGTAGTTTTGCACCTTTCCTGGATCTCGCTTTGTAGACCAGGCTGGCCTCGAACTCACAAAGATCTGCCTGCCTCTGCCTCCCAAGTACTGGGATTAAAGGAAAGGCGTACACCACCACCACCCAGCTCAATGCAGCATTCTAAAAGAGTCCATTTTTATGTTAAAGACCCAAAACAAGACAAGTAAAATATTCCATTTTTTAGTAACTGCAAGAACAGAGAGGCAGCTGAGCCCCTGGAGCCTGAGACCACAAGCCACCAACAAGGATCCATCCTGCATCTTCATTCTGGCCATTCTGAGCAGAAAGCACAGGCTAGAGACACAGCCTGGGAAGCCTGGTGCTCTCGATCACCTTTCCTGGCCTTTCAGACCCCACAACCAATCACAGTGAAGAAGAAGAATGTCCTCTCCTAGCATAGGATCCAAACCTTCCTGTATCCTGCCTTCTTCCTGCCCTGGGGTTGCTCCAACAGAGACCCCTGTGGCCGGCTGAGACCAGGGTGCTCAGAGAGGAGGCACAGTCGGAGAAAGAAGGCATGAAGAAGGAGCGTAGGGGAAGCGGGTGTCCCGGAAGTGTCCTGGGGCTGCCAGAGCAGAAGGACACAAATGGTGGCTTGAAACCACGGGACTCGTCTTTCCAAGTCTGAGCTGAGGTGTCAGGAGGGCCACAAGGGCTTCTGGCCAGGGTCCTTCCTTGTTCTCCTGGGATGCAGGTGTCACTTCTTCAGCTGGAGATCTCAATGTGATGCCACCGTCTGCCTCCACGGTGACACGATGTTCTGTGTGTACCCTCTTACGAAGCTGGCAGTCATTGGATTTAGAGAGTACCTCAGGCTGATCTGTGTGTGTGTGTGTGTGTGTGTGTATGTGTGTGTGTGAGTATGTGTAGTGTAAAGGTTCTGAGGATCAAAATCCAGGGCCTTTTGCTTTCGGTTTTTTTTTTTTTTTTTTTTTTTTTGGTTTTTCGAGACAGGGTTTCTCTGTGTAGCTTTGCGCCTCTCCTGGAACTCACTTGGTAGCCCAGGCTAGCCTCGAACTCACAGAGATCCACCTGGCTCTGCCTCCCGAGTGCTGGGATTAAAGGCGTGCGCCACCACCGCCCAGCGCCTTTTGCTTTCTATGCACTCCAAACATTTAAACCCCAACACACTAGCATTTCGGCGTGGTTGCTAGGCTCCCTTGAGTCAGCAGACAAACCTGCGTGCTGGATATCACAGTGGCCATCCCAGGGGTACCCCTGCCTGGAAGGTCCACACCTCACCATGGGCACCAGGCACATCCCTAACTCAACCAGTGAACTTCCTGGGAGCACAGAGAG